GTGTGTGTGTGTGTGTGTGTGTGTGTGTGTCTACTGCATTCTTTCTTGTGTGTGTGTGTGTGTCTACTGCATTCTTTCTTGTGTGTGTGTGTGTGTGTGGGTCTACTGCATTCTTTCTTTTGGGATGTTTGGGGGTGTTTGTGTTGGACACAATGTGTGTGTATGTTCGGTTCGTTTGTGATTGACGTTCGCGGGTGATGGATCTGCAGAGCTGAGTTGGGCTTTTTGTTGCTCTTGTAGAATGTATTCCATAAAATGTACCTGAAATTTTGAAATAATGGAATGTGTGAGTTTGTGCTGGAGACATCCACTGAACAAGCTCATTGACTGCCTCCTTCCCTCAAAAGATAGAATGTATGGGCACCAAGCCTGTATCTGACTGTAAATGCGGGTTTACAAGGCCTGGACCCTCTATTCACATGTGGAGAATGTAGCGCCTGCCTGAAAAATGTGTAAGAGAGCCCTGTGGACGCATTTAATTAATGTCCACTTGAGCGATAATCTTGCATTCTGTGTCAATTCAACTCCTTGATTCACCCGTGCTTTTTCTTCATAAAGCGAAATGTGAGATAACTGCCTGCATAGAGCCATGGGTTGGCCCCCAGCTAAAATGGTCTGGAACATGTTTTTCTTGTTCAGAAAAATCGAATTCACAATGTAGTCTGGCGTATAGCTGAAGTGCTCTGTTGATACATCAAATCAACGAATGAATAGGGGGCTGGGCATCCATTACACGTTGTCTAACAGCAACATGGCATCCTGATGCCTATTGTGGTAAGTGAGTGCTGGTGTGTTCACCTTCTGACCCTTCTGTTCTTCTATGTCCCTCTCCTGCTGCCCCCCTTCCTCGGGCACACACACAGACAGCTATTTCTTTGTTGCACTTTGTGAACACACACACACACACACACACACACACACGCACACACGCACACACACACACACGGGTGCTTTAACAACACACATTCCGGTCTTGCTAACTCTCTGCCTTGGCAGATTTGAGCGGTTAGGATCGGGCTCGTACTAGCGAGCTACTCTTTCTCTGTGGATGGATCTGTTTTGTTGGTGTTTTTTTTTTATACATGGCCTAATTCTTTGCCCTGCTTTGTAGCATGGGCTGTCTTGTCGATGAAGTAATGTCTGTGGGTGGCCACACGTTTTTTCTGGGGTGGGAGTTTGGGGTTTTGGCCACTATCTCTGCGAGGAGGCTTAGGGAGTGTTTGCTGTGGGTGTCATTCCCGCGGGCTGCTCTCTCGGATGCAATCAGACTCACTTTCATTCACACTTTACATGCATGCAAACAGTAGCGCAGCAAACTGGCGACATGCGCCCACTCAGTACTCAGAGATATGGCAACCCAGATGGCTATGGTGACACAGCGCCCATACAACTCTCTGTTCGCATACAATGGATCACCCTGGATATCCCACACGTGACTCTCTGAACACTCACACACACACACACTGAACCCCAACTACAGCTATGGCGGCTATGGCCGCCACTACCCTATCGCTATGGCTAAGCTTCGTCTCTCTGCCCACTTCTCTTCGGGCTCACTGGAGACCACCTCGCACAAGTCGCTGTAGCAGCGCTTCCGCATGGCTCACGCAGGAATCAATGAATGGCTGGGCGCTGCCTCTTGATTTATACTTCTGCAGCTCGTTGGTCTGGCCCTTTCCCATGCCCGAAGTGCACACAGTCCCATGCGGTACTTGCTTGACTGGACCAGGACTGCCTAGGACTGGGACTGCTGACTCAGCACGGGTAGACTTTACCACTTGCCTCCCCACTTGCCCACTTGCCTCAGCCTAAATGTGGGAAGCTCCGAAAGGCCACTACTCGGACCTTCCGGAAGGCCGTGGACTTGGCCTTTCGGTACTGTAGCAGCTACGACCTTGACCTTTCCGGACTGTAGCAGCTACGACCTTGACTCTTCGAGAAAACTACAGCTACGACTTCTAGACCTGACTGGAACTCCTACTCGACAGGTCTACAGATCGAACCCCTGCTACCTATGGACCCTACGACAACCTACCGACTGTTACCAATACACAGGTTGCGGGTTCAACTCTGAGGGTCGACACAGATACTGTACACAGGTAAGGTGGGGACTAGGGGTCGAGCCCTGGGATCTGCATCAGCTACTGCAAGCTGGTGAATACCGTTTCACCGAGCACATGGAAAAATGGAGTGCCCTCTAGGGTGTTTTGAACAGTAGCACTGCTGGTGTAGCATGGAGATCTTGTGGAATTTGGCATAGTTCTCGCAGTGGCCTCGCTGTAGCACCAGGACACCATCTCATTCTGCACGGCAGGAGGAGGTTCATGGCACTCTTGGTGTTGCGTACAGGTCCTGCGGTGTATTTTTGATTTGTGGTGGCGTTGTAGGCCGTCGCAGAGGGCACTATTTTTTTTTGTAGATTATTGGCATGTGTGGACGGTGCTTTTTTGTTAGTGGAGCCTTTTGTGTTATGCTGTTTGTGGTTTTGTGGGCTGACGTGGAGGGCTCTCCAAGTTTTTCTGGACCTATGGTGGATGGGGTCAATGCTTTCTTGCTGGTGGAGTCCTCTGTCTTAGGCAAGTCGCTTCTTGCCCTCCAGCCCTTTATGGATCAAACAAATATATGTAAATATGTCTATGTGCAAGTGTGCCGCTTTGGCGGCAGACAGGTGTGTGGGCACTTGGTGCTGAACCACACAAACGTGGCTAACCTTGCATTGTCTATTATATTGTCTGTCTATACTTTTTCATTATGGATGGTTTGTTATGGAGGAAATGAGAGAGAATTTGGGGTGCTTTAACAACACACACACACACACACACACACACACACACACACACACACACACACACACACACAATCTGGCCTCCATCCCCGTATGGTTTGAAATATATATTTATACGTATGTATATGTGCAAGTGTGCCGCTTTGGCGGCAGACGGGTGTGTGGGCACTTGGCGCTGAACCACACAAACGTGGCCAACCTTGCATTCTCTGTTCTATTGCCTATCTATGCTTTGTTGTTATGGATGGCTTGTGATTATTTATGAAGGGAATGAGAGAGAGAATCTGGGGTCTTTTAAACAACACACATGCATACATCATTAAGAGAATAGACAATTTGAAGATCAGAAATGAAATGAACGGAAGTATGAAGATGAAGGACGGACACAAAGACTGTATAAGCTGAAGATCTGAAGTGAAACGAACAGGAGTATGAAGCTCTTAAGAGATGCACAGGAGCATACCTTCCCTTTTACTCTGCCTTCTGAAGTAACGTGCAAGTGGGCCGTGAAGGCACACGGGGATGTGGGCAGCTGCCGCTCCACCACAATCAATGTGGGCAGCCTTGTGCGTAAGACACACAGTAAAAGGGGAGCTGCAAGAACAATGAAAGGGATACCCCAAGGACAACCAAAAAAGTGTCTAATTATAAAATCGCTTTAGTATGTTGGACATCTCAAATGCTCTCGTTGTCTGCAATAGGACAAAGACTGCTTTGATTCTGAATCTATTCACCTGGGTGGAATTGGGGCTGTTGTGGGGAAAATCTAAAACACACACACAGACACACACACACACACACACACACACACCCTTGCCTGACCAACGGCAAACACAGCAGCCTGAGAAGGAAAATAGATTACCATATGAACCACCTACAGAGCGCTGTATTGATAGCTTGTCTCCACCAGGGCGAGCTGTTGCAGACCAAATCCTGCAGCAGCTGAACGCCCTTGCTTTGGATCAATCTCCCCTGTCGTCATCTACCCACAGAGAAGGAAAAATATTGAGGAACCCAAGAAACTTGCTCCATGCCGCTTTGTGATGACCCACCGGAGATTCAAGTAGCATGTGGTTCGCATGCCGTATGCCGTGAGGACTATTAAGGGATAGCTCGGGCGAGCTTTTGTCTTCATACGCATGATGACAGTCTACACTGCACTCATGTACGGCACCTTGACATGTCATGTCTAATTTGTAGACAAGGGCTGGAACGGCAATGCCTCTACAATTGTGGTCGACATGACTCTGTGTTCCTAGCATGTAGGAGCCACGTAGCCTGTGACATCCGTCTATGCCGTGCCATTCGATGCAGTAACTGTGACTGTGAGAATTGGATGCGGTGCTTCCACAAGACACACCCAAACCGGTCCTGCCCGGTCTGTAGAGGTGGTCACTTACCATAGGCACTCACCATAAGCAACGACTGCTGCTCAAATCTTATGCAACCCACACACCGACTGGCCTCATGTGCAATTCTAGAGTGGTCAGCCCCAACGGTCACTATTTAGAACCCCGTAAAAACTCCACCTCCCATTTCCTTCCTCGCTCCTCTTGTGTATTATTAGTAATACATACGAATGAGCATCATTAAGAGAACAAACCAAATATAAGTTGAAGATATGAGAAGAACGAACAGGAATATACCTTCGCCTTTGCTCTGCCTCCTTTCATAGTGTGCAAGTGGGCTGTTATGGCATGTGGGGATGTGCACAGCTCGCGCTCAACCACAACCAACGTGGCGAGCCTTGTGCGTGGGAGGCACGGTAAAAGGGGAGCTAGCACACCACACCAGAGAATTGGTGCCCCATACTCTGATGAGCTATGCCTGATCCATCTCTTCTCAATCAAGGACTAACTACTTCCTCAACTCGTCCAATTCAGCAGGTGACATTCTGTAGACTCTTCCTTTGGGAGGGGTAGAGTCAGACAGAATGTGGATGTGATGCTTGGTCTGCCTATGGCTCCTAAGCCAAATCAACAAACTCATCAACCACCTGTTGTTGAATGGACTAATCAATCTGAGAAGTGGAGGAATCTGAATCTGTTTGAGTGACATAAGCCACAAACAGATTCTCATGGTCAGTCTCCTTAGATAAGTTGTAAGACTCTTTGGCCTTTAGGCAGTAACTTGTCTTAGGATGGTGATCAATAGCTAAGACACATGGACTTAGCTCACCCTGTTGGTTCCTCTATCGAACATTGGGCAAGGCCCAGTCAATTGAAGGATTAGTGGCCTTCGACCACTTCAAACTCAGAACAAGATCGAAGGGAAGGTGAGTGAAAACATAGAAATTTAAAAATTGTCTGAGGTCCCCTCTGTCATTAAAGGTTACTGATACACCTTTGACTACCTGTTTGACCTAAACAGATTGTGAGTTACCTACCTGAATCTCCAGAGGGTGCTCAAGGTCAGGTAGGTAACTCACAATCTGTTTCAGTCAAACAAGTAGTCAAAGCTGTATCAATCACTTTGAAATTTAAATTTCTATGTTCATACCTTGAGCACCCCTTGGAGATTCAGCTAGGTAACTCGCAATCTGTTTCAGCCAAACAGGTAGTCAGAGGTGTATCAGTCACCTTTGATGAGAGAGGGGACCGCGGACAATCTTTAAATTTCTCTGTTTTCACTCACCTTCCCTTTGATCTTGTTTAGAGTCTGATGTGGTTGAAGGCCACTAATCCTTCAATTGACTGGGACTTGCCCAATGTTCAATTTAGGAACCAACCGGGTGAGCTAAGTCCATGTGTCTTAGCTACTGATCACCATCCTAAGACGAACTGTTACTGCCTAAAACCCAGAGAGTCTTACAACTTGTCTAAGGAGAATGACCGTGAGAATTTGTTTGTGGCTTATGTCACTCAAACAGATTCAGACTCCTTCCCTTCTCAGATTGATTTTTCCATTCAACAGGTGGTTGATGAGTTTGCTGATTTGGTTCAGGAGCCTACTAGACTTGTCCATAGGCAGACCAAGCATCTCATCCACATTCTGCCTTACTCTACCCCTCCCAGAGGAAGGGTCTACAAAATGTCATCTGCTGAATTGGATGAGTTGAGGAAGCAGTTAGAGTCCTTGAGAAGGGATGGATCAGGTGTAGCTAATCAGAATATGGGGCACCAATTCTCTTTGTTGAAGTTTGTTCCAAAGGGAAATGGTGAACTCAGGATGTGCATATACTACGCAGGCCTGAATAAGATCATTAGGAAGAGCTTTGAGCCCTCGTGGATCCGTTTGGTGTTCAAAGCAGTCAAAGATGCCCACACAGCCTGCATGGACATGATCTCTGCGGTGGAGGACCGCCTGACCCAGATAGAGGTCAAGCAGACCTCCCTCTCAAAGACCCTTGAGCTCCTCCAGCAGCGCTTGCCTGCTCCCAAGCCCCCACCTATTACTCCACCCAAAGCTCCAACCCATTCCAGTGCATCAGCCTCCTCTGATGCAACCATCCCGGCCTGTACAACCAAAAACCAACCTGCTTCTCCTCCCAAGGAGAAGAAACCGCAGCAAACGGTTCCCTCCGAACCGGGACCTGCAGGCTCATTTGTGTCTGAGCCCAGGTAGGATGACCCCAAGGTGGACGTGTCAGACTGGGTGGCCTCTATGACATCCTATTTGAGGGGCTTCACCTGTCTAGAGGTAGGTAAGGTAACAATGACAGTGACCCTCATGGGAGGGTCTGCACTGAAATGGGCCAACTCTGAGGCTCACAAGTCTCATAAGCAGCTTGCTGACTGGGCTGCTGCAGTAGGGTTGGGTGGGGTTTTACAGGGCGTGGAGGCAAGGTTTGCAAATAAAGAAAAGGCTTGAAAGGCTGTAGATGAGTTGGTTGGCCTGGGCCAGGCCAAATACAGAGGTTCCCTTACCAAACTCTATGCAAAGTTCGAGCGCCTTACCTCCACTCCTGGCTCGTCCATGTCTGAAGAGGACAAGCTGACATGGTTTCTCAGGGCAACACCTGAGAAGTACACCACGGCCCTGTACACTGTAGGACGCAAGGACTGGTGGTCCTTTGGCAGAGCAGCCTTGGACATGGAGGCTGCACTTCATGTTCAGTCCACTTCCTAGAAGGGAAGCACCTCCTCTTTGCAGAGTTGGAAGAAGGGAAAGGAAGGTAATTATTCCATGGAGTCTGGTGATGACTCTGCAGGCACTGGCCAGGGTGGATCAACTCCCCCAGCTGGCCAGGATGCAGGAGTATCCCCAGATCAGGCTGCTTAAATGCTGGCCCAGGCACTGATGGCCCTTACTAGGGGCACTCAGTCCAAGGGACAAAGGCCATCAGGTTCTAAGGGGTCAGGCAAATGCCCCAGCGGTCCTCAGCAGCAGAGCCCTCCCAAGTTTGCCAAGTGCCCAGCAAGTCCCATGGACTCCTCTCTGCCTTGGAGAGATCCGAGGATCCAAGGAGTTTGGAAGAAGAGGAAGGACAAGGGAGTGTGTCTGAGGTGTGAGGCCAACCACTATGTAAAGGATTGCCCTAAGCTGAATCACAGCAACTGCAGCCATGCAAAAAACTAGTCAGGCCAGCAGAGGCTGCAACCAGCTCTTCTGAACTGAATTCATCCCTCTCAGAAGATGAATCAGCTACTGAGCCTGATATTTGTGAGGCAGAGGACTCAATGTTTTCATACATTGAACCCTTTATGGATGAACCTTTATCAGAGGAGGAACATGACCAACTCTGCTCTCTTCAAGATCTCTTGTCATCGCGCATGTGAATGGGAACGTGTAGATGCCATGCTGTATCTCATTACAATCAGGCACATAACAGGTGAAACTGTTTCATTGTTCGGTTGTCTCAACTCAAGGGCTTTCGTTGTCTGTAATAGGATTGAATATGCTTTGATTTTGGATCTGCTCATCTTGGTGGAATAGGGGCTGTTGTGGTGAAAATTCAAAACACACCCCTCCTACTTCTTGGCGGAGTTGTGTTTAGCGAATACAAGACACACATACACACATGACCACACCCACAGCGACACTCACACCCTCAGCGACACCCACAGCGACACCCACAGCGACACCCACACCCACACCCACACCCACACCCACAACCACATCCACAGCAACACCCGCACCCACACCCACACCCACAGCGACATCCACACCCACACCCACACCCACACCCACACCCATACCCACACCCATACACATACCCACACAGAGGTAAAGCTGTCACCCACACCCATACCCACACCGACACAGAGGTAAAGCTGTTTCAATATTGGATTTGCTCATCTTTACGTGCTTCATTGTTTGCTTTAGAGGTGAAACTGTTTCAATTTTGGATCTTCTCATCTGGATGGAAAATGGCCTGTTGTGGTGACAGTTTACAACACCCACAAAATCAAGGAAATAACAATGAGACATGTGCAATGTGCAGGTACACTTAGCAAGTGCTTGCTAGCCACAAAGTGCAGAATTGGAACATCAATATTCACACGTGTTTGGCAATGCATGATAGGTTGTGCAGTCCAAACATGATTTCAAAGTTAAGAGAGAAGAAAACAATCATAATAATGGTGACCAGGAGATCACAGTGTTCATTTCCAACGAGATGTGTGCGTATGTTGCGATGTGTGCATTCGCATTCCGATCCTTGTGTTCACTGAACCTGGGAGAAGAAGAGGGATCACACCAAAGTTCTCCATTTCCATTTTCTTGCCAATTGCATCAGTGATGACCACCTCTGACTTCTTCTGTGAAAATTGAAAATCATTTATTGATTTGTTCGTTCACTCACGAGAAGATGGCTTTGTTGTTTGCATGGGGCTTGCTGCTGTGTTACCAACTCCTATCAGGTGCTTGAGCTCATTGAGATTTTCCGAGGCCGGGTGGTTGATGTAGGTGAATCGTCAATCACTGCTGAGGTGAGTTTTTTTGTTTCCCTTATAACAAATATGAATAGATAGATAGTTGCTGGAAACTGGGTCCAGCATCCCTTATATGTGTATCCACTCCTTGTTTCCTTCTGTTATGGCCAAAGGAACATGAGACATTGGCATCGATTACATATACTGCCGCATGAACATCTACATGCTATTTACATATTCTTGCATGAATATGTACATGTGTTATTCATCTGGATGTTAAGTGAAGCATTGCTGATGCACGGGCTTTGCACAGATTGTGATGCAGTTGAATTAGAGTGAGGGGCTAGGGTCTTTATTGCTAACTTCTGTGGCATTCGACGGCCTGCTCGACTCTGATGTTGGATGCCTGCTGAGAGTGCATCTGGTCGCACTGTTGGTCACATTCAGTCAGAATGTGCCTGTGTGCAGGAGTGGGTTTACCATCTATTGCCCATGCACCAATTAAGGTGGGGCACAAATCATGTGTGGGCATGTAGCACACGCACACATACACACACGCACTAGCGAGCTGCTTTTTTTTTGTGGTTGGATATGTTTTGTTGTTTTGTTTATTGCACGGGGCCTAATTCTTTGCCCTGCTTTGGAGCATGGGTTGCCTTTTTGATGAAGGAATGTCTGTGGGTGGCCACAAGTTTTATTTGCAGGGTGGGAATATATGTTTGGAGTTTTGGCCACAGTATCTTCGCGAGGAGGCTCAGAGACTGTTTGCTGCGGGTGTCATTCCCACGGGCTGCTCTTTTGGAGCACATGGAAGAAATGGGGTAGCTTCTAGGGTGTTTTAAGCAGTGCTCCTGCTATCGCGTGAAGATCTTGTGGAGTTTGGAATTATGGCAATCTAGGCACTCCAGGGGCTAGACAGCAAAGTTAAAGGGTGGATGTCTAACCACGGAGTGATAGAGATGGTGGCGACGTGAGTGTGTCATTTGGGATGAATAGCAGTGCCAGTGTTGTATTTGTGCAATTAATTTTGTGGCTTTGCGGACTGACTCAGAAGGCTTCCAAGTTTCTTCAGACCAATGGAGGGTGTGGTCGGTGTTTTCTTTCTGGTGGAGCCTTCTGTGTTAGGCATGTTGCCTTTTGCCCTCCATCCTTTTATGGACTACGATATATATGTATGTATACAATTTGTGCAAGTGTGCCGCTTCCTTGGCAGACGGGTGTGTGGGCACTTGTATGTATACAATTTGTGCAAGTGTGCCGCTTCCTTGGCAGACGGGTGTGTGGGCACTTGGCGCTTAACCACACAAATGTGCCCAACCTTGCATCTTTTACTATCTTGCCAATCTATGATTCGTTGACGGAATGAGAAAGAGAATTTGGGGTCTTAAAAATACACACACACACACACACACACACACACACACACACACACACACACAG